TCCCGGTCCCGATCCGGTGTGCTCTATGCCCCCGCCCCACAGAGCATCGCGTTGTCGCCCCTCGCGCACGGGGCCGGTGACAAGCGGTGACACACGGACACACGGACGCACACTCCCTCTCCATCAGCGCCCCGCGGTGCTCAGTGTATGTGCCCGGAGAGGGGAGGAGGAAAAGGGGAGGATGCACGAAAAGGGGGAGATGCGTGGGAAACGGGTGGGGAGGGTTGGGGAGGGGGGGCGGTCATGGAGAAGAGGGGAATCATGGAGAAAGGGGGGATCACGCAAAAGGGGGGTGCGTGCAGGGGGGAGCGCGCACGGAGGGGTGGCGGGGGAAGCGTTACAAGGATGGGGATGCAAAAGGGGTCCGGCCGCAGCCTGCAGGGGGTGGGCCGGGCAATGCACGGGGGTGGCGGGTCCGTGTCGTCGTCGTTTCCCCCCCCCCCCCCCTCCGTCCCAGCCCCCGGCATCCCCCGGGCCGGGCCGTGGGTTACTCACGGGTCGGGCATCCGCGCCGTCGAGCAGCGCCGTCCGCTGCCCCGTGCCCACGGCCGCCGCCCGTGCGCTGCCCCCGGGCTCGACACCGGAGGGAGAGGGAGAGGCAGCGGGAGCGGAGCGGAGCGGAGCGGCTGCACTGCGCACGCGTCCCCCGGCCCCTGCGATTGACTTCCTAAAGCAATTGCAGCTTTGGCACTTCCTCACGTCAAAACACACACACACACAAACGCGCGCGCGCGCGCACGCAGCGCCCGGTCCCGTGCCCTACACCGGCTGTCCGGTGTGTGCGGCCGGCACCGGCACCAGCACCCGAACCCGAACTGCATCCTGCACCAGGTACAGCATCCTGCAGCAGCACTGTGCGTCCAGCACCTTTGTAAGCCATCACTGCACACCCCATCCTGATATCTCACACCCGGAGTCCTGTAGCAGCATCCAGCACCGGCAGCCCGATGCAGGCATCCTGTGCCAGCGCAGGGCACTGGAACCCCCTGCACCAGCATCCTGAACCCACTGCCTTTCCCCAGCACTCAGCACTGTGCACCCCAAAGCAGCACGCAGCACTGACACCCGGCACCAGCATCACCCCCAGCATCATCACCCAGACCATCTCTGTGCTATGGGGGGCACAAGGGGGAAAATGCCCCACCTCTGCTCTCCCATTGAGGCTTTCCCCAGATGCCTGGGGAAGGGAAGGAGCTGGAGGCACCCCTGCCCCGTGGGTGCATGGGACTGCTGGGAGCGGAGTGATTTGCCCTGAATTTCTGTGTTATTTATTTATTTATTAAAGGGGGGTGATGCATTGCTAAAGATAAAGGACGATAAAACTTGGAGAGAGAAAAGGAGGCATAAAAATTTCATGCTCTCGCCAGGCGGGGAAATGATCCCATTTTATTATTTAAAACCTCATGAAAACCCATTTCCCTGGGAGAGAAAATGGTCGAACCGCCGCCTATCTCAATCCCTGAGACATGCACTCTGCTACGTGGGGGGAAGCACTGAGAACAGGGCCTCCACACGTGGCTGCTGAGCTGCAAACACTGAATGTGGCCCCATCCCACGCGAGCAGCATCTGAGAGCAGAGCGCACTTCTCCTGCACGGGCATCTCCTGCCATATCAACACTTTCCTTGTTGGATTTTCCTATTTTTCCTGCTTTTCCCTCTCCAGCACGCTGCTGAACAGGAGTTTGCTCAGGGATGATGTGCCCAAGGCCCTCCATGGCCGAAGCAGGACATGTCCTGTTGGAGCTTTCCCAGTTCTTCAGAGCAGGTTCGCTTTAGCACTTGACCAAGCTCGGAGCCTGAAACTCCTGCAAAGCCTCTTGCGTCCGCAGGAACTGCTTTACAGCATTCGGGATTTGCAGAAATCCCACTCCAACATTCGGGATTGCGGCTTTGTGGGATTCTCTCGAGCCTTTGGGATGGAGAAAAAAAAAAAAACAACAAAAAAAAGGCGGACGGAGAAAAAATCCTCCTACCCGCCCCGCTGCCACCCGGCTCCTCTCCCCGCGGGGCTCGGGGTCGCGTTGCAGTTGCGGAACCCACCCGCAGGTGCCGCCCGACTCCGCCGGCAGCGGCTCCCCGGGAGGAGGCGGCTGAGCTCGGGCTCCCCCGGCCCCGAGAGCCGTCCGCAGCTCCAGGGATGGGGCACCGCGCTGCCGTGCCTCTCCGCCCTCCGAGCGATGAGTTTCGAAGAGTGCCTAACCTGAATCTCCTTTCTTTTTCGCTTAAAGCCACCCCCCTCGTCCCTTCTCTATTGAAGTATGTGAAAAGCCACTCTGCATCTTTTTTTCTAAGCTCCTTTCAAGTGCTGTAAGGCTGCGATGAGGTCTCGCTCCTCTCCCTCCCCGTGGGTGCTTCCAGACTGAGAGCGGCGCCTTCAGTGCGCCCAGATTTGCTGATTTTTGGCACTGCTGATGGAGGTCTCGTAGGACGGTGCTGGGTGAGTGAGGCATCCTCAGCTCGGATCGCATGGGGAAAGCACAAAGCACTGCACACCCTGAAGAGCTCCAGGAACTCCAAGCAGGCTGCTAGGGAGCAGGAAGCCTCTTTTGATGAATAGCTGAGGGGAGTCAGCCTGTGTCAGGACTGAGATACAGCGTGGCTCCCGGTGGGTTTGCAACGCAGCATTTGATGGTGAAATCCTGTCAGCAGTTGCTCAAACCGCAGCTCCAAAGCACTCTGCAATCCCAGCCTTGCTGGAACAGCAGAGGGTCACTCCCTCCTGCAGTTCCCAGCTGATGCACACCCCAAGAGGCTGGCAGGTGTTGGGAGAGGATGCGTGGAGGCTGCTCAGAGAGGTTTTGTGTTCCAAAGGCCTCTTCCTGCCACTCCTACCCGGCTTTGCAGGCAGCAGTGGGAAGTTTGGGTGGTGGGACCCAAAGAGGGACCTGTGGCTGGAGCACTGGGTTGTCAACAGGACCTGAGCCCCTGCAGCCAAAGTGCATGAACCCAATAACAGGAACCGACCCATCCAGGCTCCATGATCCTTGCTGCCATTTTGAGGCAGCTCATATCTCTATTTTCTTCCCCTTTTCTGTAAAGACATTGGAGGAGAGGATCCCACTGTCTCTCATGCACTCAGGCTCGAAGGCAAAGCAACCGCATGAGGTCCTGCAGCGTGGCTCTCCGCAGAGCAAAGTTTAAGGGGGGGCTTTTGCACCATTGGGAACAATGCAGTTATAAATTCTATCATGTTGAGGGGAAAAAAGGGGCTGACCGTTTTGATTTCCTAATGTAACAGAGTTTATGCAATCACACTGTATATCAGTGCATTCGCATTCTTCCAAATTCCTCTCTTTAAAAACTCTTTAACCCCTTTGGCCAGTTTTAGCCCAAACCAGCAGAGAGGTATGGAGCTCAGATCCTACATTTGCAATCAGTTGGCTAAAGAGTGACCCTGCCAGGGCTGCAGCTGTGAGAAACACCAACCCATGCTGCCAGCCCCTATTAGACACCAGAGAATCCGCACAGTGCTGACATCTGATTGATGTCCAAACCGTGGGAAAAGCTTCCCTGGGAGTTTGTGCCCTCCCAGGCACCCAGGTCGGTCCCCCATGAGACGCCAGCCTGCTGAAAACCAGGCTGCAAATCCTGCATCTCTCCGAGCTGTTTGTTTGCTTTTTAGTGCCAAGCTACGGGGGGGAGAGGGGAAGCAGCTTAGCAGAAGTCATAGCCAGGAGGGCTAGTGCTGGCACTGAAAGCAGCACTGGGGCTGCAGCCCCAAAGCCTTCGGCACTGTGGAAGCCTCATCTTGGAAGGAATCACTGCAAATTACTGTCTCTGCTCTGGGTGTTACAAGCTGCCAGGGTTTGGGGCACCAATGCTCCTTAACAGCCATGAGCAGCCTCACCTGGGGGCCTCCATCCACACCCTTTGCTGTCAGCTCAGGAGCCCTATTTAAGCTCAGCACAGAACTCTCTGTTCTTTTTGCAGCAGTGCTAAGGCTGGTTTGCTCCCAGCTCTGCCTGTCTATGGGTCCTGCTGAGCTCGACCCCAATGTGGAAGCTGGCTTTGTGACCTCAGCCCTACCTGGACTCTCTGGAGCTGCTCAGCACCTGCTGGGCCTGATCCTGACTCCAGGGCTGATTCATTGCTTGCCTTTTACTGCTCTACCTCATCGTTGCAAGCTTGCCTGGTGACCTTGAGGGCTCTCAGATGGATGTGGTGGTGATTTCTGGAACTGCCCTGTCCCACTGTGGGGCTGGACCCTGCCTGCTGACATCCCTTCTTGCCTCCTGGATCCTTTGGGAAGCAGCTGGCCCTTGCTGCTCCTTGGCACAGTCAAGACCAAAGGAAATACTTGTGTGTAACAAACTGCTTAGGAGCTGCTTTCCATGCAGGGGATTTAACCACGCTACAGCCCTGTTTATGCAATGAAATTACGAAGGAGACAGAAGCAGGGCACAAGTCTTTTTACAATTTACAGCTCATTTAGCTGTGGATTGTGCTGCCAGGTGTAGCAGTGGTGACACTCCTTATTACCTCCGTGGTTTTCCATCTGAGCTTCTGAGGGATGTAGGATCTTTCTCTCGAGCCCTCATCACTGTTGCAGCAATGGCCGAGCAGTCGCAATGCAGTGTGTCAGGAACAAGTCACAGAGTGTAACAAAAAGACAAAATGGAGCTGGATGGATTTCTCTTTTGGCTGAAATCAAGGCAGGTGGCATCTGCGCGTCCATGGCCTTTCCTTGACTACAAGATGGGAAAAGCTGGGCCACATCCAGGCTGTTCTCACCCTTCTGCTCTGAGAGCTCACCAGCTTTACCATCCGGGAGGAGCTGAGAGCTGCTCTGCAAGTCTTTCATCTGCGGACATGAAGGTGGTTCTGTGTGCTCTCTGAAAGTCTGCAGATGGACGAAACTGCTGGCACAGGTATGTTGAGAGCTGACAGGAAGCCTCTGCTCTTTGTTTGGAGGGGGGAGAACGAGATGAAGGTAACTGAAGGGAAGGCCTGAGAAGTAGAGGTCAAGTGTTTACAATGAAAGCAAAGTACTTAGCACAAGTGGGGGAAGGATTAAAACATATTCCTGGTTGTGTAACCTAGCCCAAGAATGGTATTCTGATTTTCATTCTTGCGAGGAAAGCACCTCTCCACGCTGCTCCCTCATCTCTCAATTATTTGGTAGAAGCAGTTCATTAGAAATCCACCCTGCTGAGCAGCAAACGGAGCCTTTGTGCTTTCCATTTCCTCCATCTGAGCTGGAAAGTGTTTTTCTCATGTAGTCTCTGTCATGAGCAGTAATAACAAAACCACAACTTCTGTCGCAGCTCTTTATGTGCAATTTGGATTCCTATGCAGATGCATCTAAACAAGTGTGCACGACCTGCCTGTTACATGGCAGCAGGCAAAGCAAGCGATGGCTGCTGACTCTAAGTATCATTCTGGTATTTCTGTTTTGACATAGCAAGGTCCAGGAATCATTGTCAGGAAGCAGTGCTCATGACCTTGAGGTTTCTCACGTATGCTAAACTGACAGCTTTTATGTGCAGAACAACAGTTCTTGCATGTGTTTTTCTGGCTTAAT